GCTCCGTAAATCGAGAATAGGGACGCCACCTCTTGTCACTATATAACCTCCCTAATCTCAGCCAATGTTATTAGATTAGCTCAGTTACGGAACGGCTCATAGACGCCTGCTTGCACGAGCAGTACCCCCTCTCACTCACCACGACCCGCCTCCCGCTGTTCGACGCGCCGGACGGCTGCTACGGAGCGTACTATGGGGAGTACGTGCGTTTCGTGGCACAGCGTCCAAATGGCGCTCCACCGTACTCTATGGAACCCACAGTTATGAAACGAAAATCTAGATGGCGCGTCAAACGGCGGGAGGCGGTTTGAAGTGGGTGAGGGGGGGTTCCACATCTGAGGTACTCTAGGAACGTTCAACTCAGCGCGCTGATTTTCCGGATTGCCAGCAGGCTACTTTTGTTACGTCGGCCTTCCGCTTGGAAACGAACACATCTGCTGGCCTTCACGGAGCGGCGCGTGTCCCGAAGCAGCGTCTATCGGATCCTGCTGCCGCGCTTTATGAAGGGAGATATTATTCCGAGCGGTTAACCGGCTGCCAGGAGCAGCGCTTCTCCGAAGCGCCGTCCTGCGCATCTAACGTCCGCGTTATTTATGTTGCGGTTAATTAATTGGGAGTGCCGGAGGTGGGATGTCGCGTCCTGATTGATTAATTAATCTCGGCGCCTCGCGCCAGAGCAAACAGACTTAACGAGTGGGGCCGGTCGTCTTGGCTCGCTCCCCGGCTCGGCTTGATCTGGCCAGTGGCGGTGGCTCCGGCGGCTCTGCTAATGGGCCTTAAATTGGATCGACGTGACCGCTCCCAAATCGGCGGAGGTTGTTAGCGGAAGCTCGTGGCGGCGCCATTTGCTTTTTTTATTTCCCGCTTCGCGCCATCTGGCGAGGCTATTTCGCACCTGGGAGTGGGGTGTGCGCGCCCGTTGTGGCGTATGGCCATGGGTGTGTTGTTGTCTCTCCTTTCGGACATGGTTCGCCGTAATGACTGCTTTAGCCGGCAGTAGCCACCGTAATAGACGACTTGCCGCTCGAACGCTGAGCTGAGCTTATTCTGCCGCCCTCGATGCAGCGAGTACGCGTTTTTTTTTTTTTTTTTTTCCCTTCGGGTTTGTAACTCTTTTTGTTACCCTCTCTGGTTGGGCGTTCTTTTACATTTATAATAATTTTTATTAATTAGTTTTACCGTTAAAGGGAAGCTACGGAGCTTCTTGGAAAAAAATAGTTAGAAGTGAATTATATGCAAAAATACTCCAAAAGCAGGGAGACGTCATAATTAAAATAAGTACACCGACTTGACATAACAGAAAAAACAACTTCATTAGACGTTTCGCCTCCCATGCGGGAGGCATCATCAGTAGTTACACAGCAAATGCAGGGTTCAACCTAAACTCAACGCTATTTATCACGAATTCCGTTTCTATAAGTGAATTATAGTGTATTTTTACCCCGTGAACCCGAATACCCAAGCCATTTGCTGCGTAAGTATTGTTAAACGCGAGAAAAACGTGAAAGACAGTCGCTGTCCGTGACGTCATCGACGGCTCTTTTGGCTGTCCAAGGCTAGGGAGGCGTGGCTTCAGCCCTATTTTGAAATTGCCCTTGTGGCTCTCCGGCGCGTCGCATTCAAATATAATTTTGATATCTGTTATTCTAAAGGCCAAATGAACGCAATTCAAGCGTTTTTTCTCAAATGTAGAAGTGCCCCATCTTCCCTTTAAGGAGTACTCAGGTTGATTTTTAGGTCGTCTATTTATTGTGATAAGTCAATCAACGGGCTCTAACCTCTAAGCATCTTAAAAAAAAGAAAACGAACTTACACTTATGGGTGACCGATTTCCCTGTTAAAGAATCTAATCCAAGATCGTGAAACTCCTCTTTTTCTGTGCTTTGGTCAAGACACCAGGGGACGCTGTCGGGCGGCGTTTTCAAATACTAATTGCTGTATTACATCTCGTGCACCCAGAGAGTTTACATTTTTGTGAAAATATAATGAACTATACCCGCCTAAAAAGTGCAATAATGTTAACGTTCAGAATCTCCACGCGATTAACTATTTTCATTGGTCAAACTTCACCAATTCACCATCATATTATAAACAATGCGGATGAAAGAATTACTTTCCATTTAAAGTGCACTAAGATTAACAACTTTTTATTGGTGTAAATCCCTTCATACTACAACAGAAGCCTTAATATACTATTTTTATTTTACAATTTGATTTTCTTGCAATATGACTTCTTGCTTTCGTTTTTTCTTTTATGTCATGCTATGCTTGTAATAAAAGACCACGTAACTGACGGACGAAGTGGACGGTAAAAAGCTCAACGTTCCAATTTGCCCCTAAAGAGCACTGCTTTTTGTTCGTGTTCAGCCTAACAAATGCTTAAATTTGGGCTAGTTGGTTTGACATTCTGAGGTATACTGCGCTGCGAAGTTACACTTAACACATAAAGACGTAAGCTATGAGGTGATATGAACGACAGTTAAAGGGGCGGTGCAACGATATTCAAATGGAGTGTTTTTCACTTTACACGAGCTTACTGGCACTAGTGAGACTCAAGGATACTCGCACGCAACGCCACTGGCCAAGAAACTCCTTTGTTGCGCTGTAATTTCAAGGACAAAAGCGATCATTTTCATTCAATCTCTCCTTTGCAAAATTTCATGACGTAACGTGGGGATCGCAGTACACCCCAGAGACGATATTTGAATGCTGTTCATAGATTGGACCCGAGCATTGAGAGGGCACTCGATTTGGGATCGTGATAATCGATAGCTCGAGAAGCATTCGGGTAGTGGCCCGTGTCCAATCGCTGCAACGACGACAGTAGCCGAGCCATAACAATGTCTGGAACTCAGCGCGTGCCCTGTCCTTTACCAACCCCAGCGCGTAACTATGATGAACATTGGCGGCATATAATCGGCTCCAGTTCACGTGGCCGCTTGTTCTGGCGGCGTGTTAAGGGGGTGAACGCTGCTTGTTTTTCTTTAATTTTTTTCTGAGACTTCTATTGGCGTGGGGTGAAAAACGAACGCGTGTTTCATAGGTCATTAACGTCAGGTATCTGTCCTAAGCGTTATTTGCGCAAAGTACAAAAATTGTTGCATCGCCCCTTTAAAGGGGCGGTGCAACGATACTAAATTGGAATGTTTTTCACTTTACACGAGCTTACTGGCACTGGTGGGACTCAAGGATACTCGCACGCAACGCCGCTGACCAAGAAGTTCCTTAGTTGCGCTGTAATTTCGAGGACAAAACCGAGTGTTTTCATTCAATCTCTCCTTCGCAAAAACCTGATGACGTAGCTGGGCGGTAGCAGTACCGCCCAGTGACGATATTTGAATGCGGCTCATAGATTGGACCCGAGCATGGCGTAGGACACTCGATTTGAGCTCGTGATAATCGATAGCTCGAGAAGCATTCGGGTAGTGGCCCGTGTCCAATTGCTGCAACAACGACAACAGCCGAACAATAACAATGTCTGGAACTCAGCGCGTGTCCTGTACGTTGCCAACCCCAGCGCGTGGCTATGATCAACATTGGCGGCATATAATCGGCTCCAGATCACGTGGCCGCTTGTTCTGGCTGCGAGTTGAGGGGGTGAACTCTGCTCGTTTTTCTTTATTTTTTTTTTCTGCGACTTCGATTGCGTGTGGTGAAAAACGGACGGGTATTTCACAGGTCATTGACGTCAGGGATCCGTCCTAAGCGGTATTTCCGCAAGATACAAAAGTCGTTGCATCACCCCTTTAAGAACATGACATACCTGTGAAAGCGCATACTAACAACTGTTTATTTTTTCGTTTCTTCTTCTTCCTTTTTTATACCCTTGTTTTGAAGGTTGAAGATTGCCTGATAATTCACGGAATTGAAAATTGACGTCTTTGCGGGCAATTGGAGACAAGGTGTCGTAGGGGACAGATATATGCTGGAGTTTAGGTGACGCGTATGTACCTGAGAAATCATGGAAAGGACTGGGACGATTAATGCCTTTTCTGTCATTTGTGGACCGTTGGTAGAAAGTACACAGTAGACACCAACTGTCTACAAATGACAAAAACGACATTAATCGTCCCAGTCCTTTCCACGATTTCTCAGGCACACACGCGTCATCTAAACACCAGTCCCCTAAAACATCTTGTCTACAATTGCCCGCAAAGACATTAATTTTCAATTCCGTGAATTATTGGGCACTAGAGGCAGGGCTTAAAGTCTGGGGGGTCTCAGGGGGTCTCGGACCCCCCACTCATTTCAACGGATGGTCTGGGACCCTCCTCCACAGCCCCAGCATTAGTGAAATCAAAATCATATCTTGCAAAAAAATACCTTGTTTTCAGCAATGTGACATTTGGGGACTAGCAATTTGAGGGTTGCAGGTACAGCGTGGGCAGAGTCAGCAGTGGGGTTCATTTTATGTGCATCGAATACATCTCGTTAAAGCCCCGACCCCCCCCACCTTACAGCCTTTTAGGGACCCCCCTCTCAACTTATGGGAGACATTAAGCACTGGGCACTCTTCATCCTTCAAAACAGGGGTATAAAGAAGGAAGAAGAAACGAAAAAATGACCAGTTGTTAGTCTGCGCTTTCACAAGTGCGTCATGTTCTTAACTGTTTTTCATATCATCTCATAGTTTACGTTTTTATGTGTTTAGTGTAACTTCGCAGCGCGGTAGTACCTCAGAGTGTTCAGCCTGCTAAAAGCTTTGATGATCATTTTATTCAAATACAAAGCAAATGCTCATGGATAGCAACAAATGGGAGACAAACTGCAAGTAGAAAAAGTATTTTGGGAATGGTTGGTGAGGGAAAGGTTCGATTTAAGTCATCACACTAAACCTTGCGTGATTTAAATAATGATATGATGATCTAAATCACGATTTGAATCATCTTGATTTTTATACTCCACAGTGGTTCGTAGTATGCACAACAGCGCATGGGCGATATGTACGACGTTTACTGCTTGGGTATTGCTTAACATTTCGCATTGCTTTTCTGTTGCAGGGCAAGTCCACGGAATTCAGTCGAGATTTCAAAGTTGTAAGTAGTGTTTCGTTTGTCAGCCCGCTTTGGTTTTCTATTTAAGAGTACGCTTTCAGGAAGGAGGTGGAGTAATTTGTTCATTGGAATTTACTACTATCGTGTTGCGTCCCTGTCTCGAGTTGCTACAGCGCTGGATATGTTATGACGTAACTAGGGATGCCGCGAACCTTCCGAAGTTCGAGTTCGAAAGCTCCGTAATTTCGAACCTCGCTAAGGTGCGAAATCGAAAACTTCGCACATTTAGAGCCCCGCTGAGGTTTGAGTTCGAAAATGTCAAGGTTTCTGAAAGGTTGAGTTTTGAATTTCTTGACAGATCGTTCGATAAATTCGAACATTTCATATTTATTTAAGATTAGAATTAAAAAAATGAATTGAACATTTCGATTTTTTCGGGGTATAGGTTCGAGAAGTTTGAAAGTTTCGATTTGAAATTCGAGGTTTTTGAGTTTCATGGACGGAGATCAAATTCTGCAGATTCTAACTAAGTTGTTATTAACTCTTCTAAACAAAATCGCGAACCGTGCTACCAATTTTAATGAAAACGTTGCATATTTCTTTTATGCAGTGAATATACTCCTTCCCCTCTGTGCTGCGGTACTGACGTTACTACCTATACTAGTCGTTATTTGTCTTAATTTATGATGCAAGCGTTGAACTGGTTGATCGGTTCATCAAAAAGCCCTGAGGCGCTCTGCTGAACGTTCTTCCTACTTATTTGCAATCTGATCAAACATCGCCTAAATCCAATGTTGGTATAAGACAAGTAAATGCACACGACAGCGTATGCACATAAAGGCATCCAGGCTTCCCGAAAATATTTAGTTGCTCGGTGCGTTTATTTTTGGCAGGATTACCCGTGGGATGGAGAAAAGACCGAACAGAGCACAGCACCCGACACAAGTCGATGATCAAGAGAATGCAACCAGACTAAATTAGAGACTTGAAATTTAGGGGAGCTGTATTTTAGGGGACCACCCGGCCCCCAAAATACAGCTGATCAGGTCACGACCGGATGTTATCGGGCTAACCATATTGCCGCTGCCTGGAACTTGTTCGATTAATGGATTACTGGCCGCTCTAAAAAGCAGCCGGTTACTACACTCTCAAGAAAAAAGGGTGTAAAAGGGTGTATCGTTACGCCCTTTGTCCCATATAATACACCCACAAACTTCAATTCGACAAACAACACCCTACAGTCGAACAGACGGCCCGACATTTTACGAGGGGCGTGATAGCCTTGTGGTACAACTTATTAAAATCGTTAATGTACGTGTTATTGACAAAAACAAACAAAAAAATAATCGGCGTTTTCTTGGCCCTACTGTAAAAACTTGGTGTTTTCTTTCTTTAGCCTTTGATACGTACTTTAGCTATTTTATAAGTTATATTGCACCGTTCTCAAGCCCCTCGTAAAATTTGGGGCCGTCTGTTCGACTATAGGGCTCAGTACGTCTAAATGAAGTTTTGGGGTGTATTATATGGGACAAAGGGTGTAACGATACACCCTTTTACACCCTTTTTTCTTGAGAGTGTAATGATAATGATGTAAGCGCCGATTCAGGTGTCGCTGTAGCGCATCGGCGTCGTGCTCCGCGCGCACCTTTCCTCGACTCGAGGGAATCGGGGGATTCGCGATCAAGAACAACTAATGCTACGAAGGACGCTCCCCGTGAAGCGCCTCGGTTGAATTTCAAGCCTGCAGATGAGAAATTTGTTGGCCCACAGGTTACCTCGGGGCTAGCTACGGAGTTGTGCGCGGGAGAGGCTCTGTGCGAAAGTCGAAAGAAAAAGGTGCGAGGTCGTGGTAACCCGAAAGGGATCATTCAGCACTTTACAAGCGAGTCTTTCGTGGCACGATGAGCTAAGTAAGTCTCTGGTGCAATTTCAGCTCCACTTGACACGTTGACATCTTGCGTTGTTTGTATTTGTTGCCTCGAACCGGTTTGAACTTCGTCGAACTTTTGTTCAGAAGTGCGAAGTTCGTCGAACTTTTAAACTTAATAGGTTCCAAAGTTTGAAAACCGTCGGATGTTCTAAAATGTCGAATTTTATAGCGGGAAATATCGCAAGTTCGAAAACAATCGAAATTCTCAGCGCCAAAAATTTTGAACCTAGCGTCGCTGTGGTCGGTCTTCCACGATTGGCCGAACGGTGACTATGACGTCAGCAAAGTTTTTCTCATCGACAGAAATAAGAGTAATGCAAGAACTTCTGTTTTGACGGCGTTGGTAGTGTTGGTTTCAGAGAGCAGTGATCTCAAGCTGCCACCATGCTAATTATAAACACCGTCGAACTTGTTGTTCGTAAGGTAATGACGTCACGAGAGGAAACCATAGGAGGGCGCCACCAAAACATCTCGCAGCTAATAGAAGATGAAAGCCCCTTCATGTTTCAAAAGTAGCCCAAGGTTCGTCGATGCACGAGGCACGTGCAACGTGCACCCCTTGGGAAGATCATGGCGGCACAGCGCAGCACTGAGCTAGATTTTAGCCGCCATGAATTTCCCAGAAGTTGCGCGCGGCACGTGCCTCACGCATTTCTACAACAATGAATGGCGCCACTTTTCCCAGTATAGAGGGACGTTAATAGAGGCCCTGTCACACTGCGGAAACAGTTGGAGAACTTTGTCCTTCAACATGAGGAAAACATGTTTTCGGGGACCCTGTCGCATTGCGGAAACAGCAACAGTCCGGAAACATGTTGCTGTCGTCCGAAAACCATGTTTCCCAACTTGTTCTCCGACACTCGGGGAACATCCTGTCACACCGAGAAAGCGTGTTGGAAGAACACAAATTGCCTCCTCTCCTGCGCGCTGCCTCCCTCTCTCTTTCGCCCTCGTCTGCCCGGCCGGCTCGGCTAAGCTACAAGCGCGAGCTCCGGGCTTTCAGCATCCCTGCCAAGCACGCGCGCCCGTGTAGTGCAAGCACTGTTCTGGGCCATATGCTCGCGCTTGTAGCATCGGCCGCATCTGGACCGAAGCTGAAACCAAGTATTAGCGCCGAGATGTTTCGGTGGCGCCCTCTTATGGTTTCCCTCCGTGACGTCACGACTGGGATTTGCCTCGCCCTGACGTCACCAGTTGTTATTCTGGCTACTTACCATCGGGTGCGACGACGAGTTCGATGGTGTGTTTAAAAAGCACAGTAGAAGCTAGGAGCCATCGCAATCCGAAACTAACACCGTCAAAGTTGACAATCTGACAGTGCTTATATGCCCGTGGTTTGGCCAATCGTGGAAAGCTAACCACAGCGACGCTTTTGGCCGCGCACATCGCTAATAGGCGGCTAGGCTCAGATCCGCTGGCTCCGCTCGCCCCTTGAATCGTTGCCATTTTGGATCGCCGTCTCATCGACGTCGCTCTACCGTAGTCGGTTCATCAGCCGCGCGAACCATCTCGTGTTCTCTGGATTTGGCGGTTGCGTTCTGCTACAGGGCTAGACCCTTGCACGATGGCATACGCGCCGGCCACAGCAGCAGCTTCTGCTTTGAGGCCCTGTCATATTGAGGAAACACGGCGGAAACATGAACAAAACATGTTTCTCAACAGTCGGGAAACATGTCGGCTGTCGGCTCTGTTGCCCGACAACCCTGTCACATTGAGGAAACAGCAACACACATGGACGACAGCGACAATGTTGTCTCGGTGTGACAGCTTTTGGCAACGGAAACCTCGACAACTTGTGTCGGACGACACGTGTTGCCCATTTCGGTGGCTGAGCGAATTTTTTTCCAGCAACACGGCAACATCTATATTTTTCTGTACAGATAGTCGCACGAGAATACTTCAATAATAACGTCAAGCGTGAAGGGCTATTTTGAACGCGGCTTCTTGCGCGGCGGCAGCTGATCGTCAGAATCATCTGAATCGATGGCACAAAGAAGCACCAAAGCAGAAGCTGCTGCTGTGGCCGGCGCGTATGCCATCCTGCAAGGGTCTAGCCCTGTAGCAGAACGCAACCGCCAAATCCAGAGGACACGAGATGGTTCGCGCGGCTGATGAATCGACTACGGTAGAGCGACGTCAATGAGACGTCGATCCAAAATGGCAACGATTCAAGGGGCGAGCGGAGCCAGCGGATCTGAGCCTAGCCGCCTATACTTCGTTTCAGCTTCGGTCCAGACGCAGCCGCGCGAGCATCTGGCCCAGAACAGTGCTTGCACTGCACGAGCGCGCGTGCTTGGCAGGGATGCTGAAAGCCCGGAGCTCGCGCTTGTAGCTTAGCCGAGCCGGCCGGGCAGACGAGGGCGAAAGAGAGCGGGAGGCAGCACGCAGGAGAGGAGGCAATTTGTGTTCTTCCAACACGCTTTCTCGGGGTGACAGGATGTTCCCCGAGTGTCGGAGAACAAGTTGGGAAACATGGTTTTCGGACTACAGCAACATGTTTCCGGACTGTTGCTGTTTCCGCAATGTGACAGGGTCCCCGAAAACATGTTTTCCTCGTGTTGAAGGACAAAGTTCTCCGACTGTTTCCGCAGTGTGACAGGGTGCTTCTTTGTGCCATCGATTCAGATGATTTTGACGATCAGCTGCCGCCGCGCAAGAAGCCGCGTTCAAAATTGCCCTTCACGCGTGACGTTATTATTGAAGTATTCTCGTGCGACTATCTGTACAGAAAAATATAGATGTTGCCGTGTTGCTGGAAAAAAAATTCGCTCAGCCACCGAAATGGGCAACACGTGTCGTCCGACACAAGTTGTCGAGGTTTCCGTTGCCAAAAGCTGTCACACCGAGACAACATTGTCGCTGTCGTCCATGTTGTGTTGCTGTTTCCTCAATGTGACAGGGTTGTCGGGCAACAGAGCCGACAGCCGACATGTTTCCCGGCTGTTGAGAAACATGTTTTGTTCATGTTTCCGCCGTGTTTCCTCAATGTGACAGGGCCTTAGGAGATGTTTCGGCGGCGTCCTCTTATGGTTTCTACGGCTGATGTCACGACCAGGATTATTTGAAACGAGCGACAAATTCGATGGTGCGCAGAAAGCACGGTGGAAGCCTA